CTGGGTCTACAGGTGTGCATCACACCAGGCTAATTTTTTTATTTTTGTAGAGACGGGGTCTCACTATGTTGCCCAGGCTAGTCTTGAACTCCTGGGCTCAAATGATCCTCCTGCATCATCTTCCCAAAGTGGTCTGATTATAGGGAGAGCCACCTCACCCAGCCAATTCTAACTTCTTTGCCAGCCATTCTGGATGGAGGTAGTTTCTCCCCTCAGAATCCCATTAAATTCTCTACAGTACCACAATCTTTTGGGACTTACCTTTACTGGAGTAGCTCTTTTGCTCACGAATGTGGTTCCAGTAACTACATTTTAAGCCCATTATTTGGAACATGTGGCATCCAGATTTTTATTCTGCTTTGAATAGCTGCTTCCCCAGGTAGACAGGAAAGCAAAATTCTCCTACACAAAGTTTGGGGCTGAGGGCCGGGCGTCGGGGCTCACGCCTTTAATCCCAGCAGTTTGGGAGGCAAGGGGGGCGGATCACCTGAGGTTAGCCTGGCTAATGTGATGAAACCCCGTCTCTACTAAAAACACAAAAATTAGCCTGGCGTGGTGGTGCATGCCTGTAATCCCAGCTACTTGGGAGGCTGAGTCAGGAGAATCGCTTGAACCAGGGAGATGGAGGTTGTAGTGAACTAAGATCGCACCACTGGACTCCAGCCTGGGCGACAGAGCAGGTATTGATTTAAAAAAAAAAAAAAAAAAAAAAAATTGGGGGGTTGAGGGATGGAGGATACTAACTCATGCAAACACCAAACCCTGCCTTTCTTCCCTTTCCAGGTGGCAAGAAGGCTTTTCAGGTCAGTGATACGCTCTGTGATTCTAGTGTTTTCCACCCTAGTATTCAAGCCTTTGGGTGTCCAAACAAATGGAGAACCAAGAGGTCAGGATCTCTAAAGGTTTAGAAAAACCCTGGGCCACTTCCATTTTGTGAGGTTCTTTATTTTATTATTTTTTTTAACCAGTTTTTTTTTTTTTTTTTTCTTTAAGAGACGGGGTTTCACCATGTTGGCCAGGCTGGTCTCGAACTCTTGACCTCAGGTGATCCGCCCGCCTCGGCCTCCCAAAGTGTTGGGATTACAGGCGTGAGCCACAGCGCCCGGCTTTCGTGAGGTTCTCAACATACGGAAAACTGAAGACGTGCTAAGAGTGAGTTACTAAGATGGTGGCTTATCTTAAATCTTTCCATGGCACCATCCTTTCTTTCATCCTGTCATCCCTGTATCTCTCTGCCCAGAAACCTAATCTCACTTCAGGAAACACCATAAATTGAAAGTTCAAATAACCTCGGATTATATTATTCTGGACTGTGCAACGAGGCTGCGCAGGCTACTGGGCCGAGCCATGACTCCGCAGGAACTGCGGCGCCGGCCCACCCAGCGCGGTGCAGTGCACGCCAGGCCAGCCAGGCGCCCGCCGTGGGTTCTGCTTATGCCCGTCGGGGCCCGCGTTCTCTGCAAACGGCCCTCCTTGTTGGCCGATCATCGGACTCCTACCCCTTCTGCCAGCTGGCATTTGCCCTGTTACCGAAGGGCGCGCGAAGGGTCCCGGGCCTCTGCCCCAGGAGCCAGACCGGTGAGGGTCACCGGGGGTTGGATTGGAACGCCCCCGAAGGCACCAAGGCAACCGTGCGCGGGAACGCCTGCCGAGCCAGCCCCGCCCCGGTACGCGCGCGCCCGGTGGTCTCGATCCAGCGTGGCCCGCCCCTCACCTCCCGCCCAACCAACAGCAACTTCCTGCCTCACTCCCGGCCAATCCTCACACTCCACGAAGAATAGCCGTAGGGGGTGTACGGGAAGGTGCGTAGAGCGATGCCCACGCCGGCCAACAGGATGTCGGGGCTTGCGCGGGAGGGCGGGACTTGGCGCCGGCTGTGGCTACTCAGGGGCTAGGGGCGGACGCAGGGCCGGGCTTCGTGCGGTGGGGCTTGCTCGCGCGGCAGCGGTGGCCGAGGCCTCTTGGTTCTGCGACACGTGACGGTCGGACCGCCTCCGCCTCTGTCTTTACTGCAGCGCCGGGCCAGGTGTGCGGCCGGGACCAGGCACAGGCACCCCTGCTGTCCCCGGGAGGCTGGAGGTGAGACGGGAGACTTGAGCGCGTCCTGAGGCCTGGGAGGACCTGGGGGTGCTGGGAGCGCTGCTGCGGCTGAGGGGTCGGGCGTGGCCGGGGACTGAGGGGTCGGGCTGGCTCTCGAGGGCCCAGGCCCTGCCGATGCGCCGGCCGTGAGCTGGGAGGCCCGAATGTGGGTCTCTTTGGTTCGGGAGCCGGCCCAGGCCGAACCGCCGGGGTCGGGAGGCGTGGCAGGTGCCCTACAGCCTTCTTTGACCGCTGGGAAAGCTGACTTATACCTATGGCTTTGCTTCTAGGGCTTTCTTAGGCCTTTTTGCCGGCTGCCTGGGCAACCGCGAGGTGGGCTGAAGTAACCGGGTAGAAGTGTAGAATGGAATCCGGCCTACTAGGTACTCCTACTAGTAGGGAAGGGTGTTATTAGATCGAGAGAGAATGTTTAGGATTAGCGTTACAATTTAATATTTGAAAATCCAAAGCGAAGACTGGTCTCCAGCTGCCTGAAGAGAAAGGGGAATGTACTAGAAGGAGAACACGCAGTGGTTGAGAAACTTAAGTCTTAACAGTTACAGCACCTATTCGGGAGGGGAGTATGCAGTCGGAGATTGACAGGGCGTTAAAAGCAGGAAAGCACCCCAAAGTTCCTCTAGTGCACCTCTTTACAGTGGAGGCCTAGAGGTATGAAATGACTGGCCCAAGGTCATGCGATTAGTTTAATGATGGTGCTGGGATTATAGTTCAGGGCTAGGCAATGCAGTGGTTAACGTTAAGGCCCTGGCTCAAGTCTTTCATTGGTCATTTGTTGCTATGTGAACTTCGGCAGTTTTCTTACCCTTTGTGCCCCCCGTTCTTGTCAAGTAATGAATATAATAATACCTGATGGATTTGTGAGAATTAAGATAAATTACAAAATAAGACAGGGAAGTTCGACATTTAGTAACTGCTCGATATTTACTGCAATACATCATAATCTGGAAGGCGTTGAACCACTACGCTGCCATCCTAGTCTTTGAACTGGTTAAGTCCTGTTTCTCAGGACCTGAAGTCACAGTTAAGGTGAGGGAAGAAACTGGGCGTTGTGTATTAACTGCTGGGCATGACACAAGTGATTTGCTGGTTGAGGGAAGTTAAACTGAGCTTAATATTAAAAGCTTGAGAGGAAAAGATGAACCATAGTTAAGTCTTTTTACCTCTAATTTATGAAATGGAAGATTTCACTTATTTTTTTAATAAGTAGAGTTTTTTTTTTAAGGGGAAAGAATTTTAATGACCTTTAAAATCATTCTGTATCTCAGTCTTTTCCCAGCATTGTTTGAGGGTCATGAATAGAATCAACTGCCATGTTGATCAACTGTTGTACATTTGGTATAATTATACTTAGAGCAGAGGTAAAGGACTATGTGTGAGTTCTCCTTTGCATCAACCAGGGTGTGCAAACCAGCCAGGTAACTGGATCATGAGAATGCTCGAGTGAACTGTGTGTTGGGGTGAATGTTTGCACAACAGAAATTTTCTGACCTATCTGCAGATGGATGTCAACATTCCCCCACACCTTAATATCTTGACTCTACAGTTCATTTAGCACGTTATCTTCTCAGGGCCACAAGGGGTAAATGTTTTGATAGAAGTCATTGCTGCCGTTTTGGCAGTCACACTATTGCATCCTTTTAGAGCTCTCTTTGCCCTTGGAAAACAGCTTAAGGGAATGAAGTAGCAGTTGGTAAGCATGAATTGCAGGCTCATGAGACTTGAATTGTGGGCCCCATGTGGTAACTAGTTTTTGTTCCACTTTGGTTTCCATAACTTTAAAATAGCAATGAGGAATCTCCTTGGTGCCTTACCTTTAGGGGGCCGATCAAATGGTGAACATGAAACTACTTTAAAAATTGTAATGAGGCCAGGGGCGGTGGCTCACACCTGTAATCCCAGCACTTTGGGAGGCTGAGGCGGGCAGATCGCAAGGTCAGGAGTTCAAGGCCAGACTGGCCAACATGGTGAAACCCCTTCTTTACTAAAAAGCAAAAATTAGCCAGGCATGGTGGCTCATACCTGTAATCCCAGCTACTTGGGAGGGTGAGGTAGGAGAATTGCTTGAACCGGGACCCAGGAGGCGGAGGTTGCAGTGAGCTGAGATCACGCCACTGTACTCCAGCCTGGGCTACAGATCGAGTCTCCATCTCAAAAAAAAAAAAAAAAAAAAAAAGTAATGAATTGGCTGGGCACAGTGGCTCACACCTATAATCTAAGCACTTTGGGAGGCTGAGGTGGGCAGATTACTTGAGATCAGCAGTTGGTGACCAGCCTGGCCAACATGGTAAAACCCTGTCTCTACTAAAAATACGGAACAAAAATTAGCTGGGTGTGATGGCAGGTGCCTGTAATCCCAGCTACTCAGGAGGCTGAGGCAGGAGAATCTCTTGAACCTGGAAGGCAAAGGTTGCAGTGCAAAGATTGCGCCATTGCACTCCAGGTGGGTGACAGTGAGACTCCATCTCAAAACAAAAAAAAAGTGTAATGAATTGTGCAAATAGAATTGGCAGTTCATAACAACTCCTAGGAAATAATAAAAGTGCCTAAACATGGCCGGCCATGGTGGCTCACACCTGTAATCGCAGCACTTTGGGAGGCTGAGGCGGGGAGATCAAAAGGTCATGAGATTGAGACCATCCTGGCTAACACAGTGAAACCCTGTCTCTGCTAAAATTACAAAAAATTGGGCATGGTAACACACGCCTGTGGGAGGCTGAGGCGGGAGAATCGCTTGAACCTGGGGGGCAGAGGTTGCAGTGAGCTGAGATCACTCCGCTGCACTCGAGCCTGGACGACAGAGTGAGACTCCATCTCAAAAAAAACAAAACAAAACAAATAGCTTATGGTAAAACTTGTCAGGAAAGTCCTGGTTGAATGCTTTGTTACTGCAGCAGATGTACTTTTAAGCTGAGCCATGTGTTATAAACATTATTTCAGAATTTCGTGTTTTAAGGAATTTAGGCCAGGCATGATGGCTCACTCCTGTAATCCCAGCACTTTGGGAGGTGAGGTGGGTGGATCACCTGAGGTCAGGAGTTCGAGACCAACCTGACCAACATGGAGAAACCCCGTCTCTACTAAAAATACAAAAAATTAGCTGAGCATGGTGGCGCAAACCTGTAATTCCAGCTACTTGGCAGGCTGAGGTAGGAGAATCACTTGAACCCGGAAGGAGGAGGTTGTGGTGAGCTGAGATTGTGCCACTGCACGCCAGCCTGGGCAATAAGAGCGAAACTCCATCTCCCAAAAAAAAAAAAGAATTTAAAGAATCGTCAGCATATGATTTCTGGGTATTCACACCTTAAACCTACTGTAAAGTTTACAGGAGAAATGAAAATGCTTTGGAAAAATCAATTCTAATGTTCTTGTTAATGGAAAACAAAATCTAAAAATGTAAGGCAGTATAGATTTGTCTTTTTTATTTTGTTTTTAGAGACAGAATCTTGTGCTGTTGACGAGGCTGGAGTGCAGTGGCATGATCATAGCTCACTGGAACCTTGAACTCCTGGGCCAAGTGATCCGCCTGCCTTGGCCTTCCTAGTAGCTGGGATTACAGATATGAGCCACCTCACCCAGCTTAGATTTATTTTTTATTTTATTTATTTATTTAATTTTGACTTTGAGACAGACTTCTGCTCTTGTTGCCCAGGCTGGAGTGCAATGACGTGATTTCGGCTCATGGCAACCTCTGCCTCCTGGGTTCAAGTGATTCTCCTGCCTCAGCCTCCAGGGTAGCTGGGATTACAGGCTTGTGCCACCGTGCCCAGCTAATTTTGTGTTTTTGGTGGAGACAAGGTTTCTCCATGTTGGTCATGGCTGGTCTCCAACTCCCAAGCTCAGGTAATCTTCCTCCCTCAGCCTCCCAAAGCGCTGGGATTACAGGCGTGAGCCACTGTGCCTGGCCTATTTTATTTTATTTTTGAGCTGGAGTTTAGCCTTTGTCACCCAGGCAAGTACGATGGCGAGATTTCAGCTCACTGCAACCTCTGCCTCCCAGGTTCAAGCGATTCTCCTGCCTCAGCCTCCCGAATAGCTGGGATTGCCGTACCCGCCACCACACCCAGATAATTTTTGTATTTTTAATAGAGACGGGATTTCACCATGTTGGCCAGGCTGGTCTCAAACTCCTTACCTCAGGTGATCTGCCCACCTCAGCCTCCCAAAGTGCTGGAATTACAGGAACCATTAAATTTAGCGTTTAAAGAACCATTAAAATTTAACAAAATATGTTACTGAGTAATATCTAGTAATAAAAATCACTGCTAACATTGTGTGCATGCTGTAAACCAGGCACTATTGTAGTACTTTATATATATTTTGGTCATAAAATGATTCTAAGAGGTATATATTGTCGTTACTATTTTAGATACAACAAAACCGAGGCCCAGAAGTTGACAAGTTATTCAGTAATTAACCAGTGTTCCTTGAGCCAACTTGTGTTCCTGTTCATGCACACTACTGTGTGTTTCTAGTTGTGACCTTGTACAGATTATATAACTTCTCTTAGTCTTAGTTTCCTCACCTGTGATATTGGAATGATAGAACCTTCTGGGGTTCTTATGGGGGGGAATATTAGACTACTTACGGTGCCTACAACCCACAAAACTTAACATTTTAAAAGGATGTATTTGGTAAATGAATAGTTTACCTGAAGGACTGCCTCATTTTAAAAATAATGCACTGCCTATTTTACTTAATTTTTTTCTTTTTCTTTCTTTCTTTCTTTTTTTTTTTTTTTTTTTTTGAGACAGGGTCTCACTTTGTTGCCCAGGCTGGAATGCAGTGGTTCAATCATGGCTCACTGCAGCCTTGATCTCCCAAGGCTCAGCTGATCCTTCTGCCTCAGCCCACCCCCACCCCAGGTAGCCAGCACAAGTGGTGGGCGTCACCAGGACCTGGCTAATTTTTGTGTATTTTGTAGAGATGAAGTTGTGCCTTGTGGCCCAAGCTGGTCTGGAACTCCTGGGCTCAAGCGATCTGCCTGTCTTGCCTCCCAAAGTGCTGGGCGGGATTGCAGGTGTGAACCACCATGCCTAGCTATCACTTAATATTTTTTATAAAACAAGAACGATGCCAGGTGCAGTGGCTCATGCCTGTAATCCAAGCACTTTGGGAGGCCCAGGCAGGCGGATCACAAGGTTAGAAGTTCAAGACCAGCCTGGCTAACATAGTGTAACCCCATCTCTATTAAAAATACAAAAACTAGCCAGGTGTGGTGGCACGGGCCTGTAGTCCCAGCTACTCTGGAGGCTAAGGCAGGAGAATTAATTGAACCTGGGGGCGGAGGTTGCAGTGAGCCGAGACCACGCCATTGCACTCCAACCCTGGGTGACAGAGTGAGACTGTCTTGTTAAGTCATTTCTTCTGTCTCTCTAAATAATTTCTCAGGGGTAAAAGGAATTAGAGCTCAAATTTCATTTCTCTTTCTTTCTTTCTTTCTTTCTTCTTTTGTTTGTTTGTTTGTTTGTTTGTTTTTTTTTTTTTTTTTTTTTTTTTTTTTTT